CTGCTCAGGAAGCTCCTCTCCGTGCACCGGGGGCTCTGAGCCACTGCAAGGGCTGTTTATGCAGCTGCAGGGCTGCTGGAGCAGCAGGGGATGGAGGAGGGGACGGGGAAAACGTGTCAGGAGTGGACGAGTGGGAGGAAGCAGTGGTCTCCTGCAAAGAGGAGACCTCCAGAGCACCTTTGAAACGGAACATTGAGAAAACAAAGAATTCCTGTAGGGGTACCCAAGGTCCCTCCAGACATATGGCCTCTGGAAATTAGCACCATCTGCACTGTCCCTTCTCAGCTGCTCTGGTTTTTATGCAGACAGAAAACTTCCTTAAAGAAGCTCTGCCTCTCCATAGCCCAAATCAGCAGGCACCTTAGGGTAGGGTACACCTTACTGCCCACACAGAAACACCACACCTGTGGCGAGCTGCAAGGCCATGCCACAGAGCCCTCTGCTCGCTTGATCTTCCCCATGTTCAACCAGCAACTGATGACAACAGAGCTGCAATGATTCCTTTCCTCTCAGCCACTATCAGAGATAAAATGCCACTTTCCATGCTGTAGCCCCGCTGGCCTCAGAAAAGGAGAGGCTATGTTTTGTAGGCCAGTCAGATTTATCCTAATCTGGAAAGTCTCATGTTCCAGACTATCAGATGCTAAAAGCTGGACGCAGAGGAGCAGGTTTGGTGAGAAGCCTTCTGCTGATGACAGAGATATTCTCCAGCTTGAGACAGCAGCGCTCTCTGGACAGAGAGGATCATTGAAATGATCCCATCCACTTACGGGCATTTCCTGAAGTCTGGAAAAGTGTCCATTCTCAAAAGGTTCCCAAATGCTGTTGCTTATTTTTTCCCTCTAATTTCTTGGATTCAGGCAGTACAGTGTCTGCAATGTGTATATCTTCCAGCCTGCTCCAAGAGCTCACATACAAGGATTTTTTTTTCCCTCCTGTATAGCATACATGAGACAAGGAGGAGAAAGAGGGAACACGAAGACATTACTGCTGGTTACTTGGGTCGTCCTCACTACACACTCTGGCAGCAGCAAAGATGTAAACATGTAATCCATCCCTGTGAGGAAATCCAGCCATTTCACAGACCCAGAAGCCAGCCTGAGGGAGTTAGGGAGATACAGTTACTTCCTGACATTCGGGGCTATGTTAATTGATAACAAGATAGCTGTGGCCAGGCAATTAGTTATGAAATGCTGATTGAAATGCCAGCAGCCTGAGCGTGACCCTACCCAGGGTGGCATGGAGCCCCTCATTCATGGCTCCATGGGCATTCAGTGCAGACTGACCCCATTTCAGAGCAGGCACACCCCAGCTGGGTGCATGGAGCACAAACAATGGGTTTGGCCTATTGTAAACACAGACCACTCTGCAGTTTTCTCACAACAGACCCAGAGTACTCATATTCTTCTATTCTTCCCTACCTCCATCAGGGGACAAGTGATACAAGGGGAAGCAGAGGGAACATTAACTCAGAACTTCAAATGAAAAGGCAAAAAATGCCATGTGCCTTGCTATAATTCATTATTATTACCTGTAGGTAGAATTACAGACAAAAAAATCTTGAAAATAATAAGAAAAATTTTAAACACTGACTACCCAAAGAACAACCTCCAGTAATTTTGCTTCAGGTTTTGTCAGCAGGGGCAGACAATCTGTGTGGATAACTCACTCCAGAGAGCAGAAGGCCCTTGCAAAAAGCCAGGCCCCTCCATCCCTAAAACATTCCCTTCTAGCCTACACCCTTGCAGAGTGGCAAGAGGTTCTTCAAAGGATTGCAGAAATGCTGGACAGTGAAAGGACCATCAGGATTTCACTGCCAAAAAATCTGACCAACGCTAAGCCGAGGCACCAGGTCATGCCAGTCATTCGAACTGGCCCCCAAAATCAAACCCATGACATCACTGGGAGTCGGCAGTTAATAGCAGCAGC